GATTTCAATTCTTCTTAATCTATTGATTTTCTTTCAAATTTAATATGTAAAATAACTCTGAAAACATTTTAATTATTAAAAAAAAAACTACAAATACTGGATTAATTCTCGTTCACACAATGATTTAATAATGGGCTTTCATTAGGCCCATGATACTCGTGTACCCCAAAACACAGAGAAGACAATCCTAATAGTTGAAAAGAAAAAGCCATTTGTGTCAAAAATTTCACTGCATAAAACAAGAAAAAACAAAAAGGATCAATCAATCTTGCCAAGGATCACTCTCTGCCCTAACTTCAGATGGTTCAACTACTTCTGTTTCTTCATTTTTGTCATTTCCTTCATTCACTTTCGAGCTTTCTTCTTCTTCCTCGACTCGCCCCCATCTTCCTCCAACCGCCATTGCCATCATCTCGTAAATCTTGTTCCCTAGCTCAGCCGGGCTATCGGGCTGATCAAACAAACACATCCGCAGTTAGTAATAATAGTTACAACTATTACTTAGAGACAAGATGAAAGCTTCTAGATATTTCTTACAGTGAATCCACTTGAGATTATAGCAGTGTCATATAAGAGATCAACGACTCTTGTTGCCTCAGTGCTCTCTGGTGCATTCTTACAAGCAGCCTGCACAACAAAATACAAAAAAACCCAACAGAAATCAAATGGCTTTTCTCGAGATCACTGAGACGAGAGAGAGAGTTAGAGAGGAAATGGCATGCGCTTACATTCAAGTCTTTGATGATGGGATGATCTGGATTGATCTCTAGTATTCTCCTACCTCTCATGAACTCCAAGCTTGAAGTGTCTCCAAGAGCTTGTGCCTTCATTAGCCTTTTCATCATAAACAAAACACAAGTTTTCTGACGTTGAGTTCGGGTTTACTAAGCTTTTTCTTCCTCTAGCTGCTAAAGTACTAACCTTTCCATATTAGCGGACCACCCGAATTTGCCTGAGACAAGCACACAAGGAGAAGAGCTTAAACGATTCGAGATTTGGACTTTGGCAACTTTCTCGCCAAGCTGTTGCTTTATCCAATCACAGAGAAGATTGAATTCTTGTTTAGCTTCCCTATCCTTTACTTCATCTTCATCGCCTGCCCAAAAACACCGCTACACTTTGTTAGAAAGAAAGAATCCACACTAATTGCATACGAATTGCTAAACAAGACTTACCGAGTTCTAAATCTTCTTTGCTGATATCAACGAATTTCTTTTCTTTGTAGGTTTGTAAATTCTGAATCGCGACTTCATCGATTGGTTCTACCAAGTACAGAACCTGTAAAAAAATGAAAACCAACGACAGAAAAAATGAAGTAAATATCAAAACCAGAACCAAGCATCAAGACACTTGTAAGTTTGACGCTAAAAAATTAATCTTGCAGTACATTACCTCAATATCTTTTTGGATTAATTTCTCCAAGAAAGGAGCAGACTTGGCGCTTTTCAGACTATCAGTCGCGAGGTAGTAGATTGCCTTTTGGTTCTCGCCCATGTTCTCGATATAGTCATCCAAGCTCGTCAATTCTTCTTCTTTCTTGGAACTGTAGAATCTAAGCAACGGTGTAATACGCTTGTGGTTACCAGTGTCTTCAATACAACCCAATTTAAGGAATCGACCAAAGTTCTCCCAAAATTTCTTGTAGTCCTGGAATCAATCATACCACCACATGAATAACTCAAGACATCAAATGACCTTAACAAAGCAAAATCGGAGAATAAGATACAAACCTCTTTGTTTTCACTTTCAGAGATTTCTTGTATCATGTCAAAGGTTTTCCTAATGAGCCTCTTTCTCATGATTCTTACCTGAATATGATAACAAGGAAGAAACAGTTATGGAGATGTGATTTGTATATAATCCACATTTGTATCACTAACTGTAGCGTTACTTACAATTCTACTTTCTTGGAGAATTTCACGGGAAACATTAAGGGGAAGATCGTTCGAGTCCACCACACCCTTTACAAAGCTCAAGTATCTCGGGAACTGCAAATAGATCATAAAACATGGTCCAACAAAATTGGAACCCAAGAAAGATTCTATAGATGTCTACAAAAGAAAGGACCAGTATGAACATAAATCTCACCAGCTCTCCATCAAAGTCATCAGATATAAACACCCGCTTCACATGGAGACGAATGTTCTTTGTTTTGGGGTTTGTGACATCCTCGTTGTTAAGAGGACCCATCCCAGGGATGTATAGAATGCTCCTGAACTCAACCTCGCCCTATTGTGAAAAAAGATATTACATACGATAAGCATCCAGTCAAGGGAATAATAAGGCAATCCATGAATATATATATAGACACAAACATATAACTAAAAGTATATAATTACCTCAGTTGTGAAGTGTGTGTGAGCAAGTGGATCTAAGAACTCATTGAAAGCCTTCTTGTAAAACTCATTGTACTCCTCCTTTTCCACTTCTTTCGGATTGCGCATCTATTCAGAGATACAAAACAATAATCAAGTGAGATTGTTGAACATCATAAAGGGTGATGACAAAACGAAGTAACAAATGTTAAAAGCTCGAGGCTCACCCATAACGGTTTTGTTTCATTGGCTAGTTCCCAATCCCAGTACTTCTCAGTTTTAGTAG